TGTGTATATGCATGTAGGCTAAGGATAAAAAAAAAAATCACAGATCTCTGATTATTATTACGATGATTTCCCCTTCTCGCCCTGTCTCTACCTCTCTTCAGTTCTGTAATAATGATTTCTTGGGGATGCAGGATTTTTCAGACCCCCTGGACTTAGCTTTCGGGCTCTGGGCAGAGGAGCCCTGTAGTGGCTCGCTCCTTTTGAAGTTGTGTCTTTCCCGCTCGCTTAAAAGTGAAGCTCTCCAAGAGTAGGTGCTGAGAGCGCTGGGTCGCATTTTTAAACCACAGGCGTGATCTCTCTGGGTAGCTGAGACTATCCCGCCATCAATTCTTTGAAATAAATCTTGTTTTCTGCACCCATCAAAGCGCAGGTGGGTGAGAACTCTTAACTTTCTACTTTTGTTGTTGTTGTTTCGCCTTTTTTTTTTTTTTTTCTTTCTTTTTCTCTCCCTTTCTTTTCACAATCCCTTTCATTCAGGTAAAACTGTAAATTTCCCAAAGCTACATTGTTTCTTCTCCTGCTGCATGAAGCTCCTGGATACTCTTTCGGGGAAAAAAAAAAAAGTATCTAAAATCCTCCGTAGATAGGACCAATGTAAATTTTCTGACATTCAAACCTTTTCTAGTTCACAAATCAGTCACCCTTGTCACAGTTATTGAAATTCCTCAACTTGCCACACCAGGACGGTGGAAAAAGCAGGCGGTGTCTTTGTTGCTGACCAGGCTTTTGATCGCCAGAGAAAATTTACTTACCTTCAGATGAGTGAGCAGAAAAAGAAATAACACTCCCTTTGATTTAGTTAGAAAAATGCAGACATTTGGATTCAGTGCAAACATACAACACTTGGTTGTTTTCTAGATGCAACCCTCGATTAACCTGTCTTTCCCCAGCTCAAAGTCTATTGAAAAACTGCAGATAGTTCCTTTTTGTTCTCGCTACAAAGAGCCATTGACTATATATTAAAATAATAGTTGAAAGGTATAAGTATGGCGTTTAAAAGCAGAAAACCTTTGTGACTTAATCAATTACGCTAAGCAACATTTGTACAATATTTTAAACAGTGCTTCGGCACTTAAAAAAAAARGSGGGGGGAGAGATTTCATTAAAGTTTTAAATATATGTACGTATATACCTGTATAAATATATACTACCGTGTGGGAGCGCGCGTGGGTGTATACATATATACAAGTGGCAAATTATTTATTTACTTCTTCGCTTGCATATGCATTAGGGCTAATTATTTTTTAGTAACGAAAACACAGAAAGGCAGCTCGGAGTCGGCTCCCTTCCGTTTCGCCTTTGTTCGGTCCTCCACTTGGCTTATTCGCCATAGATCTGAGACCCTCAAATTCGCAGTGCTAAACAAAGAAACTTTTAACTGATCCTCTCTATTTAAAGGCGCTAGGAATCAATGCTCCTCGCAGGTACTGGGGCATCAGGAGAGCAGGGACGCTGGTCAGTTAAATGTTGCCTTTTTGGGAAGGTAAAAAAAAATGACTATTACGCCTAGAAAACAACCGAGCAAACAATAAACTTTAATATGCCTGCAAGGAATGTTTGACGGCAGTTTATCTGCAGATGCAGTTTGATTTATTTTTATTTTTATTTTTTTTTTTAGGATAATGATGAACTGAATCTACACATTTGCATTTATTCTATCTAACCCATTCGAAGGAACTGTAATTGCAACGTATAGCAACAGGTATAGGCACCACTCTACGTGCGCGAGTGTGCGTGTGGGGGGGTGTTCTTTAGGTGGCCCTTGTGTTGCTCTCTGTATTTGTTTCTAAAATCACCCAGTGCAAAGGACAAAGTTGTCAGCATTATGGGGAAATCCTCGGGACGAGAGACACCAGGAGACGCAGAAAGTTAGGCAGTCCACTGCTAGCCAGTCTCCAAATGCAGGGGCACCCAGTGTTCCTTTCAGGTCCATATAAAATATACAGGCAGGCAGACGAGAGGGTATTTTAGGGAGGCGTATCTAAATATACAGTGCAGGAGTGAATGTTAAAAAAAAAAAAAATGTTGTGGGTTGTAGAAGTTATCAAGTGGGATTTGCGGCGCGCTCTCTGCAGGAAACGAAAGCTGCTCCAGTTCAAAGCCACATGCACCAACGTGACATATAAGCCATTAAAATATCATCCTGACGGCTCATTTCTGCTTCATCATACATTCCCTAACTGCTTCCAGAAAGCCAGAAAAGAAGAAATGAAGGATGACCGCCTCGATGGAAGCGCCAAGGAGGTGGTGGGTTCTTGGGTTCATCGGCGGGGGGGGGAGTATTGTTTTCTTCTTTCATTCTTTCTCTTCTCTCCCTCCTCCCTCCACCCCCCCCGCCTTTTCTTTTTCTTTTTTTTTTTTTTTCTTTTTCTTTTTTCGAATTCTTTATTCTTGCCATTTCCGAAATGAGGGCAATGCTTCAACAGGTCGCAGGGGTAAGTGCCTGGGAG